TTCCATTTTTGTTCCTTTTTGTTTTCCCGCCCAGTCGCCCTTGTAGAGGGGTTTTTTTTTTTTTTTCTTCGTTTTTTTTTTTTTTTTTTTTTTTTTTTTTTTCTTTTTTTTTTTTTTTTTTTTTTTTTTTCTTCTTAAGCCCAGGATGTTGTAGACTCCTAAGGCTTACTAGGACGCCAAAACATTGTAGGAGCTTTGCAATTTTGATTCCCCCCGCCGCTTGGGGAGGGGAGGGGAGGGGAGGGAGGGGGGGGCGGAGTATAGAACGGCCTGAATTTTTTGCGCAGCAAGTGGAAATGGAGAGGGCCAAGAGGGCCAGCGGGTAGCACTGGCTGAGCATGGCAGTGGGTTTGGCCCTTTTCACCCCCCATACACCCAGTACTGCAGGGTGATCTGCGGAAAAAGGCGGCCTGACCCAGCCCCTCGTGCTTGGTCCACCTCTGCTGGACCACATTGCAAGTAATATTATATAGTTAGGTAGGTAGTAGGTGGGTAGATAGATGTATATACACAGATTGATAGATAGATAGATAGATAGATAGATAGATACATGTGCTGGTAAGTACATCACTAATCAACCTACGTTGCTTCCTGCCGTCCTTGCCATGTACGGTCATGTACGGTCTGGTATCCCCCCTACACCTCGCGTTCACAAACTCCGGTTCAACTGCAACTGTGAGAGAGAAAGAAGCATGAACATGGAGAGAGAGAAGCATGTACATAGAGAGAGAGAGAAGCATGTACATAGAGAGAGAGAGAGAGAGAAGCATGTACAAAGCTCCAAGCGTCCCAGCATCCCATATGAAAATTGTACAGAAGATTTTTTTTATTTTTTTTTTCGGATACAGAAGATTTTAAGCACAGAGGCCATTCAATACACTCAAATCAATAAAGAACTTATATCAGTTCCAAAGTCATGTTGGACTGCTACCTCCACTCACCCTTCTATTCAGTCGTCCTGAATGTAAGCCTTGACGTTCTTCATCAGCCTACCCATCCGTGTAAATCTCCTCCTCCTCCTGCTCATCATCATCATCATCATCATCATCATCATCATTTCCTTCCTCTCGGCCCCAAGACCCACCCACACACACACACATCTTACTCCTGGCACTAACTGCTTTGGCAAACAGCACCTGCTGCAATAGCTCTTTCTTCTGTGAGGGATGAAACTTAAACCACCAGTACTTGGCCCAGTTATCAAGTCCAAGCCTTGGCCGACCTGTATGCGGATCCATGCCCAGGCTAGGGCTACCGGGCGTTCACCGGACGTGTTGCTGAAAGAGAAGAGTGAAAAACGGAGAAAAATAGGGGGAAAAAACGACATCTGAGTTCTCAAAACGAAGAATGAAAAAAAAAGAAGTAAAACCAAGGAAAAAGAAAACGGTTGTGCTTTTCCTTCCGGCACGAGAGAGAGAGAGAGAGAGACAGAGAGAGAGAGAGAGAGGCGGCTGTATTCGCGGAGGGCACGCAAGAAACACTCTGCTTCTCTCTCTCTCTCTCTCTCTCTCTCTCTCTCTCTCTCTCTCTCTCTCTCTCTCTCTCTCCCTCTGTTTTCCAACCCCGGACGAATTTGAAAGCTGCAAAAAACAAGATGAATCTTCCTTCAGACACCTGGAAGATTCGTGCTGGTTTTGCAGTTTTCCAATTTCCTGCCGGACTGAAAACGAGAGAGAGAGAGAGAGAGAGAGAGAGAGAGAGAGAGAGAGGGAGAGGAGGCTGTAGAGAGAGAGAGAGAGAGAGAGG